ACTCATGCACATGCACACTCACGCACATGTGCACACACACGCGCATATTCAAATACACATATACCAATCCAAACATTTTGTTTATAGTGAAAATTAATTGGATGGAATACCCACTTACAGAAAAATTGAACGTGATTTTGTTAACTAACGTTTTTATGTCTTTCATTTTTACAGATAGTCGAAGAACGAATTAAAAGACAGCGAGGTGAAGAGCCAAGAAATTGGAATCGCTTGTTTCCGCCTGTTAATATGCCATCAGTTAACAACAATTATGGTTGTACAGTACTTTTGCGTGCTTCCACAAAAACATCCGGGCGATTAAATCGAATTATAAAGCTGCTTGTTGTGATCAGTGCTGTTCGTAAGGTATGTTGTTTCGGACTCCCACCGGCACATACGGCACTGTCACTCGGTCCCCTCTGCTTCGCGAGTGCTCAAGGCCCCATTCCTGGACGTCGAGAGCATTGAGGAACTTAATCGCACTTATTCTCGCTTCCTTTAGGTCGATGTTTCCAGCGCCACGAGCGTACTTTTTTTGCATGCTTCCACAAAGACATCCGAGCGATTAAATCGAATTATAAAACTGCTTGTTGCGATCAGTGCTGTTCGTAAGCTATAATCGCCTAGCATTTATTTCTTCAAATAACCACTTTTTAGCACTGTGCTCTCTCTCCCCCAATCATTGGTGCAGCCACTTTTTTTTGGTTTTGAGCTTCTCGTATTAGACCCCATATATCTGCTCTATTTTATTCGTACTTTCCTCAACGTTCGTTTAGCACACGCTTTTATCATGAAATAAAATCACAATAGGAAATTTTGCTTGCAAACTGACTGTGTGTAACAGACTTTCTGCAAAATTTTAGAGCATTTAAATTCAGAATTCACTGCTACGAGTGTTTGTTTAAAAATCTTCTTTGACTAGCTGTTTTTCAGATCATCATATTTTGGCCAAAAAATCGTGAAATGAAGTCGAATTTCGATAAATATGGCTCAAAAGTAACTATGCAGGAGGGTAATTTTGATGTAAGTTTTTTTTATAGAAAACAATTTAAGACCGGAAATTCGAATAATGTGAAATACGAAGAAACAGCCAAGACGGTTTTTCATTTCTTTAACTTAACTTGGAAACGCCGGCACTTTTTTTTCAATCTTTTCGATCTCGAGTTAAATTTGAAA